CTTCCCTTCAAGGCTCAGGGGTCCACGATTATCTTCTGTGTCTGTGTTAATTGGTTTCCCTTTTCTTTGTTGAAGAGGGTCTGTGCAATCTTTCTGCCTAGTCCGCCATCTTGCCGGAACTCCCGCCAGATTAATTTTTATATATAAAGCTACTGGGAGATTCTACAGTTGGGACCTAAGTAAAATTTCCTGCAAAAATGCTTGGCAGCTAAGAGATAAGTTGAGATAAAGGATTTGCAAGCAAGATGGTGGGGCAGGCTTTGTGGGCTGGAGAAAAAAATAATAATAACTTGGGAGGAGATTGCTGGAAAAAAAGTCAGCTGGGCTAGGATTTAGGGGTCAGATAAATGTTGGGGGTGAATATAAAATGTATGATTCTGCTCAGTTATGTTTACTGAGATGCTGGTATGAGCTGTGGAATTCCCAGCGCATGAGAAGCTATTTGAATACAATCTAGATGTTATTCAAAGTAAAAAAGCGAAGCTATTTAAGTTGGAAATGAACACATTTCAGAGGGATGTGCTTCTCCTCCTGGTGGTGTCCAGGATGATTAGCAGCCTTAACAAATAATCGTGTCAGTCCTCTCTTCCTTTGTGTGACCCTTCATTGAATGCTATCTCTGTGCTGTTGTGTCTCAGGTCACATGGCTAGGTTCACGACCATCCTCAACCAGATTCCCAGCCAATCTTCATCAGTCCGGACTATCCAAGGGCCTCCTGGGGAACCTGGGAGACCAGGCTCTCCCGGAGCCCCTGGAGAACAAGGACCGCCAGGTACACCAGGCTTCCCAGGAAATGCAGGCGAGCCCGGGACCCCAGGAGAACGAGGTAAGATGGACCACTCTTTTCAATGGAACTCTCTGAAGTAGTGCAGTGAAACTGTGCAAAGCAGTGTTGTTTGTACAGGGAGTAAATAATGGATCTAAATTCCTTCTAGAGAGCCCTGGTGGCTAACCTGAAGGTCAGGGGTTGAAACGCACCCAGCAGGTCCTCAGGAGTAAAGACCTGGCGATTTACTCAGATTGCAGCTTAGGAGGCCCCATGGAGCAATTCTTTCCTGTCCTGTAGGGTTGGTGTGAGTTGGAATCAACTTGACAGCACACAAGAGCACATTAATTCTAACCAGTGTACTCTTTGGCCCTTGTTTTTCTGTTCCAAAGATTGACAAAATGGAGCAATCCATGGTTTTTATCTAGAGCTATATCTGCTTGTATGAAAGAGGAGAGGCAGGGCCCCCAGCTCACCTCTAAGAGGTCTTTGAGTCAATGAGAGAAAGGTGCTTGGATGAATTAAGAAAAAGTGCTCCTTCTACTGGAAGAATTAGAAAACGATGCCCCCTCTGGGCAGATGCAGCATCACTCATAAGACCTGGTGAGCAGAGAGCACACCCCCTAGGTCTGGTGGCTTTTTGTGAAGTGCCCGTATTGGGCAACCAACAGGCAATCCTGCCGTGAGCCAGAGTCATGACGCAACGTGACATATGGTTCACATATGCCTATGTAGATTCTACCAGCTCTAAACTTCAAATAAAAACTGTGTGTGGCTTATCTTCCTAAAATACAAGACAGCATTTTATGTGATAGTTTCATAGACCCATAGTTTCGTGGGTCAATATTTTGTCTTTCCTACTGAAATATCTTTAAAGTAGAGATCCTCCTCAGCCTTTTCTTCTACCTTCTACAGATGTCAGCAGTCTTGGCTACAAACAATAATAACAGTCCTTTCATAGAATTCTACCCAGTTTCAATAATTAAGCAAGATCTCCCACTCCAGAAACAGATGAAAGAGATATGGCAAGTTGGAATTTGTATATTAACCATGAAAAAATTAATGCGAAAAAGAGACAACTGTAAAAACAGTGTTTTCTTTTACAGTATGTCCCTGAGGCAGGTCAGGGGCCCCTGACTTGACCTGCATGGATGAAGGGCTGGCTCACTGTCCAGGGAGCAATGTATTTTAAAGACGTTCCCTAACTGAATCAGAAAGTAATGCTTTTTTTTTTTTTTCCCCCTTTCTAATTTGAAAAACAGTATTTTCTAAGATACAGTTTCAAGAAGACAGATTTGCAGAAAAATGAAATGTTATCGGTCTGCTCTGTGAGTGATTATGTTGGTGAAATTCTGAAATTTGGGCTGTAAAGCATGGATGAGATAGGTAACATTTCACGTTCATTCTTGATCAATTCTAGTGGGTCACATGCACTGCTGATTGTGACCAGTTGTATGCAGTCTTCTTCTTTGGAAATGGCTTTTCCATCCCCTGTCTTACCTACATCATCCTCTTCCAGTTCAACTCCTGTCTCTTGCATCGTTTTGTTGCTCACCGCAGAACACATATGTCCCCACCCCCTGAACTCTGGCTGCACTCAGCATCTGCCCCACCCGCGCACTAGTGGACAGCTGGATTGCCCAGAAGAGGCACTGGATCTGAAGTGCTTTGCACATAGTAGGTCCTCACTAAATAGGTCCTGCTTTGATCGTGACCCAGTTCTGATTTTCTTTTCTAAAGGCGTTGCCCTGTGCCAGGGTGCTACATCAGCAGACATAGAGAAGGGTGAATTCCCTTGCAACACACTGAAGATCTGCCAGCCAGGAAGGTGGCCACCTCTGTCAGCAGGAAAACCTATAATGGGGTTGGTAATGGATAAACTGTGACTCAGGGAGTGCAGAGCCAACACCTGAGTCACTTTCAGCAAGTCACAAGTTGTCTTTGTTGTTTTTGGAGGTCCTGGCCCCTTTCTTGCCAGATAGTGTCTTTCCTCCTCGGCAAGACTCCTTGAATGATTAGACCAGAGGAAAATCAGCCAGGAGTTCACAAACTGTGGCCCAGACAATCCTTGGAAATAAGGAATTTCCATGATGTAATTTCCTTACATACCTATAGATATATATCCTTAAAGGGTATGGGACAGAGTAGAACAGCCCCATAGGGTTTCCAGCACCGTAAATCTTTATGGAAGCAGACTGCTTCATCTTTCTCCTATGGAGCATTTGGTGGGTTTGCACTGCCGACCTTGGGTTAGCAGCCCACTGCTTTAAACACAGTGCTACCAGACCTCCTAAAAGATAGAGTAGACAGGTGAAATCTTTTATTTCACAAATACGTAAAGGAGGACAGTATGACAGAAAGGGAGAAATGGCTTTTGAGCATGTACAAAGATGATCCCAGTGGATTCCCAGTCGAGCTGCATGGCTGTGGGTTTACTGTTGTTATTAGGTGCCATCAATTTGATTCCAACTCACAGCAGCCCCCTATGACAGAGTGGAACTTCCCCCATGACGTTTTCTGGGCTGTAATCTTCACAGGAGCAGATCACCAGGTTTTTTTGCTGTGGGGTCTCTGGGTTGGGTTGAACTGCCAATCTTTCTGTTAGCAGCTGGGAGCGCTTAACTGTCGCACCACCGGGGCTCCTTTTGGGTTTACTAGAATAGTGTTTATTGTACGGCACCCAAGAAGCTCCAGCGTTCCTCTTTTATTCCTTGAGCTGTAACTGTTGAGTGCTGGCTACTCTGACATTAACCCTTCTTAAACCATGACTTTCTGTGATTCCAACTGTATCTCCTATCCATTGCTAATTCCAATCTCTCTGTATCAGAACTAGATTGATCTGTTTATTTCCTTACTCCATTTATTTAAACTTTCACTTTCCACACTGGTATTTTGAACCACAGGTTAACCCAGTCAGCATCAAGTTTGTTGGTTGATAGTTCACAAAGTCAGGTTTCTTTCATTTACTTAAAAAGAACCAGAAAATGTACCTGATTTCAGTCTTCAAGCAGTTCTCTCACTTTCCATGATTCTTCAGAAATTATTGGCTCAGACAAACCATCCAAGTAATGATTGTCATGTTTAGGTTGCGGATCCATAACAGCTGGAATTCATATCTGGTTTGTTTTATATGATAGATCAACAACTGTTTATTGAGTCCAGGATTTATGTAAGACTTTTGGCTTGGCAGTGTGTGAGATAATACTGTTATTTATGGCTTTCACTTATTAGGCACCAAATGCATCTGCCAATTGTTGTGCTCAGTTTTATGCATGTACTATCTCGTTCGGGTGAAATAGAAGATGTGGTTTGGATAAGGAAGGGATATGAAAATGTTTCTGAATGTACAGGGTGGCAGCTGCTAAATGCTGATCGAGTTATGTGCAAAGTCAGTGTTGTTAGAATCTAGAGGAAGACATTATTGTGGCCTTTGATAAGGAAAAATGCTAATATTTGCTAAGCAACCACTATGTATAAGTTATGAGGGACTGGTGGTTCAGTGGTGGAAGTCTCACCTTCATTTCAGGGACCCAGGTTTGAATCCTGGCCAGTGCACCATCAGTCCATCATTGCATGTTGCTATGATGTTGAACAAGTTTCAGCTGAGCTTCCAGACTAAGATGGACTAGGAAGAAAGTTCTGGTGATCTACTTCTGAAAATTAGCCAATTAAAACCTTTACGGATCACAATTATCCTATCCCCAGCCTATCATGGGGATGGATAGCACAGGACCAGGCAGGGTTTCTTTCCATTGTGCCTTGGGGTCACCTTCAACCAGGCCCTGATGCCATGGTTTACAGAACACTGTAAAGACAGACAAAATTTAAAAATCAACTTTCAACAACACAATTCATATAAATTGTCTCATTAAACATATGTGTGAAAAAATGTTGAATTGGTAAATGCATTTTTTATATTTTTACAACAGTTCAGACAAACACCTCTTTAAAAAAGAATTTTTTTTTTCAGCCTTGATGTTCTGTGGTTAATATGGAAAAGAAGGACTTGGTTTCAGAAAATTAGAAAAGGAGGAAGGAGAAGAATGGGGAGATGAAACACAACTGAACCCCAAGAAGGGATCAGCCTTGCTCTGGTTACCATAAATAAATGGCAGCTCCTTTCAGAGATTCAGAAATGACAGCCAGGGTAGGGGGATGCTATGCATACACTGAGGTTAAACCTGGGTCCCTGATACTCAAGCTAAACTGTGCCTCAACAGGGCTGAGAAGTCTGGAGAGAAATCTGAGTGCCGGAATGACTCAAAGCCAGGAGGGAGAAGTAGCTGCTTGTGTTTAATATTCCTGTGGTTGAAAAGAGCAGTTGGAGCTGAAGATAAGTTTGGCAGAAAACTTTGGTCCCAAATTCAGAAATAAAGCAAAGCCAGGAATCCGTGATGGTAACGATTGTTTCTGTGAAACTTCTTAATGCCCTTTGTATCCTGGTTTATTCCTGGAAAAATGATCTCTTGTTAATTTTTTTGATCAACTTGATTACTGTTAGAGGGCCATTAAAGCTTTGTGTATAATTTGCTGGCTGGCAATCAGATAGTCACAAGTCCCCAGTGCCATTTTGCATTTCGTTGACATTCAATTGCATAAGACATGGTCTTTCTTTTCACTGGTGTTGAAAATCTGCTAAACTATGTTTGCCTTCTTCCTCCTCTGTGTCCCCACTGCCCGCCTCTCATCTCTTGAAAGATGATCTCCAGACAAATAAAGTTTTCTTTTTTCATACCCAATACTTATCTGGTAGAGTCCAATATGAATGCCCTTAAGTACAAGACCTTTCTCTGAAGATTTGATGGATTATGTTTTCCTAATGTATGGTCAACTTTTGGCAATGGATGCTTTTTCTTGTTTCCTTTTGGAATTATCTCTCTCTTTTTTTTTTTCTCTTTCTGTTACCTAGAGACTCTTTACATTGATAGGCTACAGAGAGCAGCTCTATGCTTAGTGATCTGTTAGAGAAATTACTGTAAAGCTTAGCAACTTAAAAGATGTATATAATCTTAGTTTTGTGGGTAAGGAGATTTGGAAGTAGGTTCACTGGTGGTTCCAGC